CAGGCTATCGTTCGATGGGCTGAATTGCACAAAACGCATGATCGCACCGGCTAGCCTGATGCGCGTTGCCATTTACTTTTAGATGTTCTGCTACGAATAGCACACTGACTGACATTCAACGCGTTAACTCTTATTCAAAACCCAAAAGCACTACTCCGAGCAGAAAAATTACTGACCTTCTCGTTGTTGATAATGGAACTGGTCATCTGACGTATGAGCTGTGCTTTCGCTATGGCCAACTGAGCTGCTTCCACGCCAGCATTGCCACCTGTAAAAAATAATGAACTGTATTAGCAACCACCAGCACAAGCTATTCCATATTTTTTAGGCTATATTTTCGATCTGCTGGCTAAGTCGCTGTTTTGTCAAATTTTTTTTATTGCTAAATTTTTCCTAGTCTGCAAAAATAGGCAATACAATAAAATGTGAGGAAAAGGAAGTCTTATTTCCGTCGTCAAAAAAAAAAAAAAAAATAAATACAGCAAATCGAAGACATAACAATCTCTCTCACTCGTGTATCAAGCACAAGAAACTAACTTGATCCAGCCTGAGGTTTGAACGCAGGCATTTGGCTGATCCGTTCCGCCGCCTTCTGCATTGATTCTGCTGCTGCCGTTGTTGATAAGACCGTATTCAGCGGTAATCTCGAATATGTAACCATCACTGTAATCAAATTTTCAATCTTAGAACAACGCTGATGAAAGCAACGAATATTTCGAGCAGGTGCAATTTCATCGAGATCGATACAATTCTTGTTTGTGAAATACTTTCAGCTGGCTAACAGGATTCCAATTTTGCGGGCATTTTTTAAAATTACAAGGAGCGAAAATTCGATACGCAACTAACCTGCACAGCCATCGATCAGCAACGGCGCTTTGTTGAACGTTAACATAAGCCGCTCTGCGTCATCAGCGCTACGCATTTGGACGTATGCGTAAAGACCCGACTCAGCAATATGGACTCGTAACACTTCCAGCGATGATACACGACCCACTTCTGCCTGGATCTTCGTTTCCGTGCAATTCAGTGGTATTTCCCGCAACAAAAGTGCTGCAAGTTAAATTCAAAACTGTTTGAAAGCATTGTTCAGCGGATTTGGTCAGGCTGTTCCCAAACTGTGAGCTGGCCAACACCCTGATGCAGTCTGGATAGTTCAAAAGCATACGGACTTGCTAATCCAAAACACAAGCAGATTGCAAAAGGATCAAAACAGGCAAAAATTTTGAAGTATTAGCCAATATGCTGAATAAACTGGTCGTGAAACTAGACTGCGTTTTCACACTCTTTCGTGGCTTTTCTTAATGGCTGTGAAAGTGAAATATGCTCTAAACAGTCATAAACTGTGCAAGGTTTCATAAGGGACTTTGTTGCAGCATCCTCAGCAATTTTTTGAGGGGACATCGAAAAGTGACTTCTCAGCGCTGATAATTAAGAAAAAAGACACAATCTGAAGAATCGAATTATTTCACCCTTCGCATTACGACGAAATACAACAACCATCAAGTCTTTTAGTGACTACCTCTTCCACGTGCCGCTTAAAGCAAACCGATTATGCTCCCTCTCACACAAAGTTGTATCAGAGTAGAGGAATTTTGTTTCTCTCATTTAAAAATGGAAGAATTCCTTGAAAATGATGCGTTTACACGTCCGGATGCGATTGGGGGCGAATCATTCAAGGGTCCCCTTTCTTTCCCGCGCAATTCTGTCCAGCTTACACTTCTGCAACCCTCTCCAACTGACGCTTATGCAATTCTGTCCAGAAAAATCCTGCTGTTAAACCTGTTCGATACGTAAAAAAACTTCTGTGGTTCCCGAGCTATTAATTTTCGGGCAAAATCTTCATGTATCCATACGTGAGACGCGGGCACACGTGGAAACTAATTTGCACACCGGCAGACAGCATTATTTTGAAATTTCAACTTCCTGACTTTCCTGATTTCCAAATTAATGATCTTCGCACCAAAACTTTCACGTGACCGCACGTGAAACCTAGGCGCAAGTGAACACTGAATTTGAGTATTCGAGATCAGACGCGGGCTGGTGGTCGTTCTTAAAATTTCAGAGTCCTAGTTTCTCTGGTTCCTGAGTTGAAACTCGCGAATACGTGAAGGTTGAATTTAACATTAGGGGTCGCACGCGAGCTGAAACTTTCAAATAAAATGCGCTCGGGATACACGCACACATATACACACAGGGTATCGACAATTCTGCTGCAACACAAAACGCATAAAAAGCACATGTAGACGTACTATCGCATTTTGCGACGCCAATTGCTGCATAACCCTTTCGAGTCA